TCATTCTTTTAGATCTGAAAACTGGACATCGCTGGGACATCACTGGGACATTACTGTCCTTCACTTCGACAGCAGTTTTTCCATGCAGGGAGTGTCTCCTGATAACACCATATTGCATTGTAGTTCAATAGTGCTTTTCTCTCCGACTGAAAATTGCACAAATACAAATGCGATTCCGCGTTGTATTGGACTTGGGTTCTAATATGTCAGTCGTGTTACAACAGATTTTCAGTGTGATGTGTTGTAGTAGGAGTGACTGCTACAAAAGGTGAGAATGTTAATGTATTGACTCTTAAGGTTTATGGATTTTCAAATGTTATACCTTCTCTTGGAGATTTTGTTCTTTTTTTGATCAAAATACTTCTAGATACCTTTAAAGGGGTTTGCAAAATTGCTGCTGTAATCCAAATATACTGTTGGAAACAAGAGAAAATTGATGCAATTGTTTTTGGTTTAACTGATCTTTATTGAATATTTTCTTATTAGACCACAAAACCCAAAACCTAAACAATGACATGTAAAGTCAAATAAAAGCTAAAGTTAAATTATTCGTATTTCATTTATCATCTTTTTGCACAAAGTTCTTGCATGAAACTGATTTATTAATTTGTATACATTTTATTGGCTTTCAGTCTCCTGGTATTCCTTTAACAGGACTCCATGTTATTCCAGAGTCAGGTGTTAGTGTGTTTCCTGTAAATCACAGCATATTCCACTCAAATTATTCCTGCCACAGAATCGGCATGTGCCAGGTGCTTGTTTAGTCCTGAAGACCTTTGTCATGTAACGGGAGAGATGATGTTAGAATAGGAAACTAAAATTGGTAACATTTTTTCTTGAAGGGGACAAATACTATAGTATTATGTTCTTACTTATGCAATAATAAACCACAAACCAAGTCTTAGCTATATACTAATGTCATGTTTGTTCATCATTAATGAATCGTGATGCCAAACAGGTCATTGATGTGCACGACCAAAAAGTTCAGTCGTTGTCTCGTCTGGCCACGACTCACAATTCGAAGTGTAAATCCAGTGATAGCTTGTAAACTTCAGGTGTTGTGTCTCAAGGACGGCTTCTGTCGGGAAAGCCTTCCAAGAAGCTTCCGGTGGTGCTGGTGGCGTGTGATTATTGATGAATTTTGAAATGCCAAAGCCCCAAGTTTCAAGCAAAGCATGCAGTTCAGAAGCTGCGATTGTTGGGGACTGCATTTCCTCCCCCACCACCTGTCTGGCTGTGCGTGGGGCAGATATGCTGATGCGCGCTTAATCTTCCATCATTATTAATTTCTTGAACAACTGACCTGACTGTGTTCAGTGGTATTTTTAACTAATTTCTTTCTACAGTTGCATTAATTTCCGATACATTTTAAATGATTAATATTTGTATTATTTATATAATATATATTATTTATAAATTATATTTAATTATATTATGATAACAGTATTCATATAATTAATAAATTATCAATTTTGTGTACCTATGAGTGTCGGGGTGGGGGCTCTCGGTTAATTTTTGGAAATATTCAATAGTTGTCGGTCATCAAAAGGGGCACTCGGTAAGAACCTTTAATCTCATTTCAGATGATTTATCTTTGGATTTCCCCATGTTAATGAATAACACAGGGAGTTTGCATATGTGTGACATCATACAAGTTCCTGTTTGTTTCTGGTCCTTGAGCTGTTGCTTCATGCTGGTGTGAAATGCTGGTGTTAAATGCCTGGCTTTTATGTGCAGTGAGGTGTAGGTCTGGATGCTGGGACAAGGTGGAGCAGCTCAGCGCTTACTTATTAAACCTTTCTGAGCCAAAGCCACACCAGTATCTTCTTAAATGATATCCCTTTACTTACATTTTCTCAATAAATCTGTTGAAAAGTATAAATACAAAGCCTACAATATTACCGTCTTGAATTTATTTATGAATATTCATGTCATTCTTTCATGTGGAAAACTATCCTGTATAATACATGCACTCAGAAACACATTTTGACTGAAAATGTACTGGAAATGACTGAATATGTATAGTGTAACTATTTGAAATGCAGTATTATGGAAAAATATACACTTTCAACATTCAGCAGCACCCATGATATTGTTTGAGAAATTCCCTTAAAGCAACAGGATTTGACCACACCGTGCAAACACACCCCTTTGGTGAAGGAAAGCCAGCTGAAATATACAGATTTTTATAACATATGACTCAAATGGATAAATCATGACAGTTGAATTAAAACAATACTTTGACAAAATATGCTTATTGTATATCTCATATATTTTATATATGTATGTATGTATACCTTAAGTGTTATATATAGTTAAAACTTGTTATACCCTGTATAGATACTTACTTCAAGTTGTACCAGTGCATCTGTTTAATGGTACAAATTGGTACAAAGCCCAAATTAGTTCATTCTTGTAGTACAGTCTAATTTATGTGTACAGATACGTATCATTGTCGACGACTACCCTGAACAATAAATGCACTCATAAATACGACGTGACTCTTTACGTTTCCTGGAAATTCCAGCACATGGATCATGTCATTAGTTGATAAGGAGATAAATGTATCACATACAGATGTAGACATTTTGCTGGACCCAATTCCCCCCATAGCAGACAGGGGTGGAAGGAGGGTTTCACAGTGATGGGGGAAGGGGGGGGGGGGCTTGGTAAATTTTGCCGACCTGTTGTGGAGGGGATTCTTGGTAAATTGTTGGGAATCTTGCGTAGTCATCTGTCATTAAAAAGGGTGCTGGGTAAAATTGGTCAATCCGGGGGCTGGGGGGGGGGGCGGTCTTTGGAGAGGAGGGAGGGGGTAAATTGTTGCAAGTTCGTTTTTGTGCAAGAGAAAAGAGCCATTTAGTAAAATTTGAGTATGTGCAGTGTAGGTCTGGGTGCTGAGACACGGTGGTGCAGCTGAGCTGCTCTCTCACTCCGGTGTGAGTATGTGCAGTGTAGGTCTGAGTGCTGAGACACAGTGGTGCAGCTCAATTTATACACATTTGGGCTAGTGATTCAATTTTTTCCATCTATCTCATTTGTGTCAAGTGTGTCTCAATCTGAAATGGAAATTCCTATGCAAACAAAATTTCAAGTCAGTTTCAAAATATGTACTTTTTGAAAATATCAATATATTATTAATATGTCATTCCTGTGTTCATCATCCAGTTCATTAACTTTGGTTAAATGTTGCCCTAGACAACATTGACATTTTTATTACAGTCTTGATATCCACCAGTTTGTTATTGCAACTGAATGTACATACTTCTATTCCAAGGCAGTGATTTTCAGTATATAAATATAAAATCCGTAATAGTATAATTGTTTTTCTCTCTCTTTTTTTCTTCATGCAATGATGGCTGTGTTCTACATATTTTTGCCTGTCAGCATTATTCATAAACCTGAAGGACCCCCTCACCTTTAATATCAACTATGTGTTACAGGAAGCCCTGTAATCTGAAATCCTGGGTGCTGTCAGAAACGTCAAATAAATGCAGAAAAAAATGCATCAGCTCATGGAGGAAGGGATCTGCAGTTAATCACTGCAAGTCTGCTTTAAGCCAAGCGCCAATACAAAGTAATATTTATATCAGTGTTCACTGTCTGGCATTGAACATGAAGATATGGATGCTGGACAAATGCCAGATAAGGTAAACGGATGGGAAAAGATGGAAGGAGATGATGTTTTAAGGATGAGATGGAAATTATAGGAATGAGACGTCAAGGGAAACTGCCTGATTAAACTCTTTGACATTCAGGAATGAGATGGGTAATGTGGTTTAATGTCAAGAAATGAAGAGAAGAAAATCAAATGACTTCGAAAGCTGGACAGGATCATAAAAAGACAACTAAATATAGAGATCCCTGTATCTCCTGCATGTTTGTACATTCTGGGTCTTTAGCAATTGTGAAATAACTAAAACTGAAACGTCTCAGTGTTGACCATTGACCTAGTTAATCTTGCACAACAGTGTTTAATGCAAAAAAACCCTAGTTAGACATTAATTGCAGCAGCTAAATAGTATTACCACCCCTGAGGCCTCCAGCATCATTTCTTATCTTGTGTGAACCCCCCAAAAAAACAGTTGATGCCAAAAGTGTGGCAGCTTGTGACTGTCCCAGCTGATCTGAGTTTTCTTTATGTCCCAGACTGGGACAATTACAGTACAAATCCCCTCAAGAGACTCATTTTCATTTGGTAAAATGTCCTGTTGTCTACAACCCAGTGGGCTTACAGCTTATCAGTGTAACTTCCATGAGTTTTTACTTAATCTGTCATTTAACAAATGCCATCAGTTTATGTCACAGTCTTGGTTTCAGGTACAGCTTTTTCTGTATGGTGTTCAGCAGTGTAGCCTAACATCTGGTCTAAACATCTATCTGTGCTGCTTTCTGTATGAACAGTCAGTATTTCTTGGTAATATCATCTCCACTGTCCCTCACAAATATATCAGACACTACACTGGCTGTCAGTTCCCTTACAGAAACAGCTGTATTATGTTGAATAATGAATGAAAGTGACTTTCTTACCACATGCCATTCCAGTCCTCATTGATCCTGTAACTGTCATGGGTATAAAACAGGATAAGAGGTGCTATTGCACGTACTTGGAAGGTGGTTTTCTGGGAAGGTAAGAAATGATTATGTGGAAAGTTTCCCCTTCAAATACCACTTAGGATGGGGACAATTGTCTTTTGGTTTCTCAGTTTTTTTCCTAGTGTTTTGAAATATAAAAGCTACATCAACAGTAGCTTTGAAGCGCCTCATGGTCATAAATTTCTTAAGATGGACTGTTCAGATGGTAGAGCTTCTGAACATTTATTTTAACCGCTGGATTAGTACCTACATATTACAATCTATTTCTAAACCATAATGTTGCCCTGAAATAGGTCAAAATTCCAGCATTTCGAAATGTTTGCACCAACTCTGAGGTCCTTTGTTTGCTTTACTAAATGAACCCAGGATTAAAATTTACGCTTGGCCATGTTGATGTTCCTTAGTGCGGATGAAAGGTTCGACGCCACATTCCACACCAACGTCCTGGTCAATTCGTCTGGGTCATGCCAGTACCTCCCACCCGGTGAGTCTGCCCCCACTGGGAAGTTTCCAGTTATCTTTCTTCTGGAAAGATCTCGAGCAGGGGCTAGAGAATGGAGAAATAAACGAACTCATTTTGCATTGTGGTGTTTTTGAGGGTCACTGGAATGTTATGGGGGCTTCAGTGGCCTTTTATATTTGTGAAGGTGTTTCTCCACGGTGCTTAAGCCACAGTCTTTGAAACCTGTCACTGCGTTAAAGCCAGAAGGGATGTGGTGTAAGGACACGTCATTGTCACTCAGGGATCCTGAAGAGCACCTGCTACATCGACGTGCGCTGGTTCCCCTTCGATGTGCAAAAGTGTGACCTGAAGTTTGGGTCCTGGACGCACAACGGCTGGCTGCTGGATCTGCAGATGGTGGCAGTTGACATCTCAAGCTACATCCCCAACGGAGAGTGGGACCTCGTCGGTAATATCACCGCTTCCTCCTAGAGACATTCGTAATTTGTGAAATTATTAATATTCATATTGTGGTAGCTAAAATGTTATAATACATTGTTATAATACCACTTTCAGTTGATTGTGGAATAATGAACTTTTTCCCTCCAAAATTCCCATGGGTGAATGGTAATGGAATCTACTCCTTCTAGATGTTTGATCTCAGACTTTGTCCTCCCAGCTGCATGGCAAATCCCGTTCAGCACATTCTAATTGGTCATACAGTCGGAGTCACATGATTGGCCCCAACCAATCATATTCTGGGGCACATGCATTGCTGGGAGCTGGTGTAACAGATGGCTGAAGTTTGACCCTCAAATACAAATTAGCCACCGAGACTGGTGCAGATGCTGGCCAGGTGCTGCTGGGCCACACATGTCCAGGAAGACCAGTGACAGCAGGTCCACTGCCCCAAAGCCAAACCCCATACAGATGGAGGTGTTTAACAAACTACTGTACAGGTTTCACAAAAACATCTCTGATTTGTCCAGATTATTGTCCCAGTGTAGGGTTACATGTATATTGTTGTATATTGTATATTGTATATACGTATATAATCCGACATATTGCATTAAAATAAAATGCAGTGAAAAGCACAAGCACTGACATTTATAAGGATTGATAAGTAACTGCATGCCAGTGGCAAGTGTAAATTACAGGATCACAAAGGTATGGAAACTGGTTTTGTTTGACTTGAGGATATCCATTCATCCATTCCTTTACCAGCAACATGTTCAGTAGAGAGTTACAGGATTTTCCAGAAGTATATTCCAGGGAACACTGAGCACAAGAGAGAGGACACCTTGGATGGAACGCCAGCCTGTCACTAGGCATTTAGTCAACAGATGAGAAATGCTTTGGGCTGGCCTCCTTGCTTAGATAATATGGTGTGTAGGTTTCGAAAGTCAGTTTTCGATTGACATGTCATTTCCCAGGATATGCATGCAAATTGGTTTTTTTAATTTTTTTCCAAAACAGCTCAATGTAGATTATTGAGATTGAAAGAATAATGTGAATCTGACAACTCTGACCAGTATGAAAAGTCCTTATATTCGGAATGAAAGCAAGTGACAATTGTGCAAGCTGGAAAGACGAGCATCATTATAAAATTAATCTTGACAGTTTTCTTGCGGTCGCTGTTAACTTTGCGATCTGAAATACATGCATATGTAATCAGTGTTGGTAGAGGACAAAGATATCCATCTCTCCATCATACAAGTGTCAGGGATCTCTGATGGGCTGCTTCCGTATCACGTCTTTGAGAAATGAGCAGGCACAGTGCGCGTACCTTCATGTTCTGTGGTACCCAGGGGTCCCCGGGAAGAGGAACGAGCTGTATTACGACTGCTGCAAGGAGCCGTACCCCGACGTGACCTTCACCGTCACCATGCGACGCCGCACGCTGTACTACGGCCTCAACCTGCTCATCCCCTGCGTGCTCATCTCTGGTCTGGCCCTGCTGGTCTTCCTACTGCCCGCCGACTCGGGGGAAAAGATCTCGCTCGGTGAGAAATCGCTGCGGCGCGTAACAGCGGTTCTCTGCTAAGAACTGTCATTAACAAACAGGCATGTTAGTCATCCTTTCCACTGTAAATTGTCTTTCACTGGATGGAGAAATAAAGAGATGGGCCTGCACATTAAGTAGGGAAGCTTCGATCGCTTAGGTGCCTGATGCTCTGGAGTGGTGCCCTGATACTTACGTACTTCTGGTCTTATGCCAGACAGAATTACGCTGCACATAAATTTACATATTTAATTGTTGTCACATGCGTCATACAGGAGAGATAGCTTCTAATACAGCAGAATACCTAAAATATGAACCATTAGCTAATGATTGAGCATAATGTTCATTCCAAATGAGGATTAATTTAAAGTCTGTGGTCACTACTGCCAGATATGAGCATAATAATGTAGTACTTTGACACTAAAATATTGTCATCAGTAAGTCACATTGAGAAGTTTGTGTATTGCATTTATTTTGGTTCCTGTATCCTCTTCCACCAGTCCATATATTGTACTTGTTGGACACGATTTAAAATATACTTTGTAAAATTGTCGCTCAAGGTCATCTGTGTATTACAAACCCTTATCCAGCACCTGGGATTCCCATAATCCCCTGCTCCTACAATTGGACCACTTCTGTCCCCAGGGACATTACAACTTGGAAATTCCATCTCTTTACTTAATGTGCTGGCAGAAAAAACAAATAAGTATAGAACTAATGTTTATGTTGTAAATGTGGTGAGTAGACACATTGTTGAGGTCAGTGTCTGGAAATGATGGACGTGCTCGAATGAATTGACTCCTCTGGTCTGTCTTTTCTAATCAGGGATTACTGTCCTGTTGTCTTTGACTGTCTTCATGTTGCTGGTGGCTGAGATCATGCCTGCAACCTCTGACTCGGTGCCTCTGATTGGTGGGTTTACCATTATCACTTTTTCTACTGCCTTGTCTGTCGATGGCTCTTCATTAACTCATCCCTTTCCTACAAAGGAACACCTATGTACCTTTACTTTGGTACAAATTTGCAGAACCAGTTTTTTATGTAATAACTTGACAAAGTGTCAATGAAGATTTCCATTTTGGTTGTTTATTACATGATGCACAGTATTACATTTTCATCATTAAAAAGTGCAACTCCCGCATTTTGTAATAAATGTCGCAATATTTAATAATTTATTACAAAATGCAAGGAAATGTATTACATAATGCATTCAAGCTATCACGAAATGCGGCAGATTATTACAAAATGCGGGTGCCATTACATAATTAAGTCATTTTGTCGAGTTATTACAGAATTATTACATAATGTGTTGTAACAAGGACTGAGAAGCACTTTTATATAGGATTGACAAGGGAGCAAAGCAGAGGCAGTGGATTTTGTAAATGAAAAAGGTAATTTGATCAATCATTCACTTTTCTAACCTTTAAGGTCTTAGTGTGCATGTGCTATTCCATGTTAAATTTTATTTGCAGTAAATTTAATTTAAACACGAACACCAGCATTATATCACTCTCCGCCACACAGGTTTTAATGTAAATGCAGACGTTAAGAGGGAAAGTTAGTACATTTCTGAAAGAACTGGCAGCTTTTATTTGTCTTCATCACTTCCAGAAGTACGTCTACAGGTATCGGGAAACTTAAGAACTATTGCCGAAGCACGATGTGTATGCAGTATATGAAACTGTTGAAGTAGCTGGATGTAATGTAAAAAGTAGATTTTCAGACTTGGATATGATAAAGAAAGAACATTCCAGAACCATATTGACAGTGGAAATCGAATATCTGCAGTAAATGTATGTGTACTTCTGAGCTTTAAAATATTGTAAGGATTACAAATAAGGAAGAAGCTGACTGAGAACTTGTAAAAATTCACATTTACTATTAAGGTGGAGTCATTTGAAGGCCACAGCCATGTGAGGTGTTGTCGATAATGGTGTTTGTGAAGCTCAGTTCTGCAGCTGCAGATTCAGTTGTTTTTGCTTTGTGTTGTATGTTTTTAAATCATATAATATCTATGCAAAAACAGAATCGTAGCATGACGCCTACAAGTTTTCCATTAAGATGCATGGCTTTGTGGAAGACCCACATGAGATGTGAGCTGTACTTTAACGGTGGTGAGCGGTTTGATGGAAATGCCGTATTTTTAATGGGATTTTGTGTCAGCTGACCTCTGTAGGCAGTCAGAAAATGGGCAGGATATATCCAGATGAATGGGAAAGCCTTTTCAGATGCACAAGCAATGAATTGTTATGGAATTTATTGTCATACATATTCAAAACATTTGTATAGCTGAATGGTGTAAACAATGCATGAAAGGATGAGAATGAAGCAAAAGCACATTTCTGAGTTCCTGAGAAATTTCAGGGTGAACTCCACCCTTAGATTTACTACAACGATGGGCTGACCAGGTGCCACTTGCAAAAATTTAAGAGGCGGAAAGTTTTTGACAAATTTGTCAGTCGCCATTCTCCCTCACCTCGGATAGGCATCGTTGGAGTTGTAAATGAGCTGCATGAATGTTGAATATCCTCTTCCAAAGGAACACTTGTTCTTGACCTGAAACCCTAATGCATTTTGCTTGCTTGCAGGAGGGAGGAAAGGATAGATAGATAGACAGACAGACAAAGAATTGGACAAAGAATTGGGAGTATTTGTTTTCATTAACAAATCAGCACTCACCTGAGGATAATAATTTAGTCAAGCTTTCATGAATACATAGACAGTCACAGAGGTGATTTTCTTTTTGGTTCAAATAGGGTTTTTATTTCTGGCTTCATTAGAAGGAACTGACAGACTTCTTTGAAAAACCTTCAGCTCTTCAAATACAGTCACATGGGAGGATATTCATGGTGACTTCTTCAAAAAAGATTCTTCCTTGACATAATCCTATGATGTACTTTAATGATTCGCTTATCCATCTATAATATTAAATATTTATCATTGGTAGTTCTGTTGATCTTGTTCAATCATAACAGCCGAACTGCAGCTAAACTGAACTTTTCAGAGAATATTTTCTTGTAAGTCTGGGTAATAAATTTAAAACCAAGAATACTTTTTATTAAATGTTAGTCGTTAGTGTTCAGAATAAACTTTAAAATATTATTGATTGTTCTGTTTCTAATATCTGGGTATGCCATGAGAGGAAGGTCTTACAAATTCACTCCCCTTCTGGCTTTGCACGATTGTCATTTCAGCCCAATATTTCGCCAGCACTATGATGATTGTTGGCCTCTCTGTGATGGTCACCGTTCTTGTGCTCCAGTTCCACCATCATGATCCTCACGGGGGCAAGATGCCAAGATGGGTAAGCTGGAAACAATCCTTCCATCGTTAAAACAAGGCGAAAGCGCGAGATTAGCCTGGTTTGGCCACCATACCGAAAACGCAAGCCTTTTTACATGCAATGTTTGTGAAACCTCCTGAACTGTTACCAGTGTCAAGAGGTGCTGCACTCAGGTAGAGGAAAAAATTATAATGCTGTCCAGCTATGCTGCGATTCAACACACTTTAACAAGGGATACATCAACCTTAGGAATGTAGCTGGTGCATGTCATAGTCCTAAAGGCAGGACTACATATTGAAAGAAAACATCAGGATCAGCAAATGTAAAGATTTGAGAAGTCCTCTGTGTCAACTTAGCCTACTAATAATAGTTAATATATGCATATTTACAGCTTTGCAGTATGGAAAGTTTTTGCAGAATATGTGAAATTCCATGATTAGCCACTTGCGAAATTTGACAGGAATAGCAATATCCCTGGACATTAGATGTAAGGATGTCCTACTTCCTAAATGTCCAGAAAGCAGGCGAAGGTGTACGAGGCCCATCAGATTACATCAGATGGCGTCTAAGTTGCTTGTTTGTATTTGGCAACCCTTAGTTTAAATTTTTTTATTTTAATTTTAAATCCTGCTCTTCCACATAACCATTCCTGATCAACATATTATATTGGAATTTTTGCTATTTAGAAATGTTATATTCTACATTATGGACCAGGCTATGTCTTATGTATGCTCAGGTGCGTGTTGTTCTGCTGAACTGGTGTGCCTGGTTCCTGCGGATGAAAAAGCCTGGGGAAGAGCATAAGATAATGGGGTACAAGTACAGCCCCCCCCAGCATCACGGCAGCACCAGTAGCATTCAGATGAATACCATGGCCGGCCAGCCGGCCAACACCAACGGCAACATGAACATCTACTTCAGCTACCATGCCATGGAGAACCCCTTCTGCCCATCCAGCACCGATTCGAGCGTGGTGTGTGGCCGCAACAACACCTCACCCCCCCACAACAGGGAGCACATTAGGACCCTTGGGGAGCATGTGCCGGAGATCACGAAGATCCTGGAGGAGGTGCAGTATATCGCGCGACGCTTCCGCGAGCAGGACGAGGGCGAAGCTATCAGCAGTGAGTGGAAGTTTGCGGCGGCCGTGGTGGACCGGCTCTGCCTGGTGGCCTTCTCTGTCTTCTCCATCATCTGCACCTTCACCATCCTCATGTCCGCTCCTAATTTCATTGAGGCCGTCTCCAAGGACTTCACATAAACTTAATGGCTAAGGCACACTGATGGTAGAAAGGAAGTGAAAAGATCGTATTATCTTATTAAAATTATATACTTAAAAATCTGGCATATATATTTATTTTACCTCAATGAATGTGGTGCTCATGAGTCTTTTAATGGAAAATTCCATACCCACGTCTTACTGGGATTTCTCCTTCGTGTTTCTAGTTGCACATTTGTGTGATTTTTACGGCCATCAGTCCCTACATACCTAAGCACCTTAATGAGTAGTAGATGACCACTGTTGGTGACGTGTTTTACTGTGAGATGAAAGATTCCTAGTCAAATTATACAGTACAACCTTTATGAATTATGACGACATATAGGCTTTACATAGATATTTAATTGCAGAGAGATTGTTTTCTCTCTGCAAGCTTTTTATGTTTCTGTTATTTTTATGAGTTTTTCTAAAGTCAGTTGATCCAATTAATGGATTAGACATCATGGACTAAATATCTTGTGAGATCCATTTTTTTTTCCATTTTTCTTTTACTACGAACACCGAACACAGCAAAGCTGGCAAAAAAAAACATTTATTTTTGAGAAAGTACACTGAAATTGTTTTAGTTTTGGGAAAAGGGAGTATTGATTTTAGAACTGTGTATAGTTTCATACTACAGTATTACAGAATTCAAGCTGAATTGGGTTTAGCATAAGTGAGCATGTTGGTTTCTTGCCTTGGTCCAGAAGCATGCAGTTAGATGAAATGTGTCTGAATCGGACAGGCCATGCGTGGGTCTCTATGCCCTATATCAGTGCTTCCTAACCCGGTCCTTGGAGACCCCCTGCCAGATGGCCCCCCAGGTAGGGAGCTGGGGGGGAGCAAAAATGTGGACTGTCTGGGGGGAAGCAAAAACGTGGACTGTCTGGGGGTCCCCAAGGACTAGGCTGGGAATCACTGCCCAATAGGATACAGTAGACCGCCTCCCCTTTCAGGGTGTCCAGCGTCATACCCTGTTCATCCTGGGGTAGGCGCTAACCTCACTGTGAAGCTGCATTGGACGAGCAGCATTGGAAATGGATGGGAGTTACTTTTGCTCTCTGCATTGTGCTCAAACCCTAAAAGGAAGTACCACTTGCAGGAGGGATGGATGACGTGAGACTGGCTGTGCAGGCTAACATCTTAAGATAAGGTTTCCTGTAGACATTATACCCTTTGCTCATTGATGAAATCCAGAAGTATTGTGTCTCCATCCTTGCTAGTTCAATGCTGTACCAGTAGAGTCTCATTTTAATCAAGGAAACCCTGTTTTGTATTTCGTTCCAATCTTCCTTGTTCTTGCGGGACAGGCCCAATGGTGGCACTTTCTCTCCCCCCATTATGGCAGTGATGATTCTCCTTGGGTCGTGTGTAACTCTCCTATATTAGATCTGTGGCATCGTGGAATTCTTGGCTGGAAAAGAAAAAATCATTGTGTTAGATGACTTGCTGGGAGATGACAGATTGCATTGTGTGCCAGACGGTGTGGAGTCTGTCAACCTGTTTTGGATGGTGATAAGAAAACATTGTAAGGCAGCATTTCAATATACACATCTGACACCGCATAGAACACTTTGAGCGAGAATATATATCCCATTAAACATTCATTAATCTATCTTTTATCTTCTTATCCTGGTGAGGGAAGTGGGGGCATTGCTTTGTAATGCTGGAAATCTTTTGAAATTGCATTTTATCTGTAAAGACAATGTTTGTCTGTAATGACAAATTCAAACTACTTTAAATTGGTAATTTATTAGATTTTTTGATTGACTTGTTTTCTGTGTCTTCAGGTCTGTGGCCCCAGAGTAGAATCAATGGTCAGATTAACTTGCACTATATTTGTGAAATTAAAGTACCATGCATCAGATAGTCCTCTCTGACAGGCAGGAATAAATGTGTAATATCAAAACAGGTAAAACTATGTTGGAATCTGCTGATACATTATATTGACAAAAGTACTGGGACACCCCTCTAAATCATTGAATTCAGGTGCTCCAATCACTTCCACATCCACAGGTGTATAAAATCAAGCACCTAGGCATGCAGACTGCTTCTACAAACATTTGCGAAAGAATGGGTCACTCTCAGGAGCTCAGTGAATTCAAGTGTGGTACCGTGATAGGATGCCATCTGTGCAATAAGGCCATTCGTGAAATTTCCTGGCTACTAAATATTCCACAATCAACTGAAAGTGGTATTATAACAAAGTGGAAGCATTTGGGAGCAACAGCAACTCAGCCACGAAGTGATAGGCCACGTAAAATCACAAAGCGGGGACAACGCATGCTGAGGCGCAGAGTGTGCAGAGTCAACTGTCTGCAGAGTCAATAGCTGCAGACCTCCAAACTTCATGTGGCCTTCAGATTAGCTCAAGAACAGTGTGTAGAGAACTTCATGGAATGGGTTTCCATGGCTGACCAGCTGCATCCAAGCCTTACATCACCAAGTGCAATGCAAAGTGTCCGATGCAGTGGTGTAAAGCACACTGACACTGGACTGTAGAGCAGTGGAGACGTGTTCTCTGGAGTGACGAATCACGCTTCTCTGTCTGGGAATCCGATGGACGATTCTGGGTCTGGCGGTTGCCAGGAGAACGGTACTTGCCTGACTGCATTGTGCCAATTGTAAAGTTTGGTGGAGGGGGGGATTATGGTGTGGGGTTGTTTTTCAGGGGCTGGGCTTGGCCCCTTAGTGAAAGGAACTTAATGCTGCAGCATTCAAAGCCATTTTGGACATTTTATGCTCCCAACTTTGTGGGAACAGTTTGGGGACGGCCCCTTCCTGTTCTAACATGACTGCGCACGAGTGCACAAAGCAAGGTCCATAAGGACATGGATGAGCGAGTCTGAGGTGGAGGAACTTGACTGGCCTGCACAGAGCCCTGACCTCAACCCGAGAGCACACCTTTGGGATGAATTAGAGTGGAGACTGTGAGCCAGGCTAATTTTTATTGATAAAAAAAATTTGGGCAGGTGTCCCAATACTTTTGGCAGTATAGTGTATGTCCATTCAAAATGATCTACTCTGGAGATGGTTGAGTTCCACAGGGTAGTAAATGAAATGTATGATATACATACATTGAAGGGCAGCCACCCATGGGGGGCAAGGGCTTCGCTCAAGGACCCATAGGTGCACCAAGGCTGGGCTTGAACCAGCAACCTTCTGGTCACAGAGGCTTAGCCCACTGAGCCACACACACTGATATGAAATAACGTAAAATATGTGTAAACCACAATAAATATCATTATCTCATCTATTTGCATAATTTAAAACTATTTTGTGGAATTATACTATATTTGATCTCTTACTTTTACTGGAAAACAGTCTGAATGTTTTCTTCATTGAGGAGGCTTTTCTGGGAAGGACAGCTTTGTAACAAAAGACAAATACTGTATAGCTGTCACTGCATTGCAGTGATCTGCAGTCACTAGATGTAGAGTACCAGGGCACCAAACACACTGCAAAAACAAGGAAGTATATGGTCATTAAAACAAGCCCATTTGAACAAAGGTACCACGTTGATAATACAATGCGAATTTGGCTACTGTGTCCCTTCCCTTTGTAAATAAATATTTTAAAATGTACATTCCCGGTTTTTACATCTTGATAATTTGGTAGGTGGTAATTTTACAAAAAGAAGCATCTGAATAAATACTCTAAAATAAAATTTCATTAAAAAGCAACTAATAGTACAACTATTTTGACAGGAACGTTAATTAAATTTGAAAGGACAATTAAACGAGAATTTAAATACATCTGTCAGAGCTTAATACCGTCTCCGCTAAAATAAATGTTTAGGTTGAAAGAAACTCCTGTTTAAAGTGTAGCAGTTTTACATTTTGCAGGAAGCGAGCAGAGTGGCATGTTGATCTCACCTTAACTGGAAATGGGCGATTCTGCTATGTGGCCAGAGTTTGCATGCTCTCCTTGTGCTCTAGGTTCCCCAAATTCCTTCTGCGGCCCAGTGACATGCAGTTGGGCTAATTGCTGGCTTTAAATTGCCCGCATTGTGTGTGTATCCTCTGTGTAACCCTGCCCTGTGCTGCCTGCCTCAGAGTTTACCTCAGGATTAGTGGGTGGAGGATTGACGGATACGAAAGGAAGCTGATAAATAAATGCAAAGATGCATTAAAAATTAAATTTAATTGCCAACTTTGCAGTGAGGAATTATTTAGACTTTCTTTTGAGATGCATCGCCAGGTTGCTATTTATAAAACATTCGTCTTTATGAATGATCATAATACAAACATTATACTCTTTGGCAAATATGATCCTTGATTAATGAACAAATATTCATTATCTCAGAACGGTCCCAAATCTGGTAAGCAAATCATGTGCACTTTCTAGGTATACAGAGAAAATGTTTATGACCTTCCAATCAAAAGGCTCAAAATTACATTTCGCAACACAATTTGCAAGCAGACATTTTTAAATATGTCTTATCATACTCAATATATCTCCAAATTATGTGATTGTACTTAGAATTAAAAACGGGATTTATTCATTTTGTTTATTTTGATAAAAATTATTAGATATTCGACATATGGGAAAATGTGTTTTTTATGAGCTGTTTTGTTTTTTAAACAAAAATAGCAGGAGGGGGAACAGGAGACTGACAAAAGGCAGGGTGCAGAGAAATGTATTATTTTACCGCACTAGAAGACATTTTTAGTGTTTTCTGGATGGAGGTCTGCCTTATAGGAAGTGGTCTTTTCTAGGCTGAAGAGCAGTGGATGGGTGTGGTAG